TTCGAAACAAATCATTCTCAGAATTGAATGATCAACAATGGGTTCCCTGTTGACAGTCGCTACCCTAGTTCACTCATTACCCCAATACCTACACGGTATTCATCTATTTACACGCAAAGAACGGTATAAGCAACCGAAGCTCTGATAAAACGAAACAAGACTATCTTACCCCAGCAAACACACTCATGCAGGTCGGAGCAGTTGGGCACCATTCCTTGCCTCACCCGTCCCATCTCAAATCCTTATCCTGACCCAGTGCTATATAGTCGTAATGGCTTGGCACTTTCCCCCCTGATAATTCTCTTCCCTCCCTCCCGTCAATGGGTTATAAACTGCTTCTCGTCTGAGATTCCTTCGAAGCTTTCTGATCACATATTAAGACGCTCCAGCTCTCACACTTAGATGTGAGCGTAGAATTTTACGCTACGACATGTTTAGGATCCCTTGCTATGACCTGTGTAGAATCCCATGCTACGATGTGAAGAATCCAATACTACGATATGTTTAGAATTCTCTGCTGTGACGCGTGCAAAGTTATCTGCTGTAAAGTTGTTGGGAATCTTTTGCAATAAAGTCTGTGTAATCCCCCTGTTGTAAAGTCTATAATCCTCCGTTGTAAAGACTGTATAATCCCCACCTTCCCCTGTTAGTGTGTGGAATCCTATGGTTCATCTTTTTAGCTGAACCTGGGCACCATTCTTTCCTCACCCGTCCCATGCCAAATCCGTTTCTTTCAAGGGAACGACTGCAAGTTTAAATCCGTATATGGGGAGTAGAAGAACAGGGGAACGTGCGGATAAACGAAATCCGGTTGAGAGAAGACGAACGACTCATGTATCGTAGAGAATACGAGGCTAAATAACCCAAGCTGAACAGCACCTAGTGTCCTGATTTACCATCTACTTTCCAAGGTCCCGTGTCTCAATCCCTGCACTCTGCCTAGGAGACCCGCCAGAACACAAATAAATTCAAAGATCACCGCCGAGGACAGCAGTTATCTAAAGATTGATAACCGTCTTTAAATACCTGTAAATACATGTGGTTATCGGAGTAAATTGGATGAATAGTTGGTTATCAGTGAAGATGACAAACGAAGCACAAGTCGGCGCCACGGGGGTAGAATCGGGACGTGCCCTGGGATAAGTGATTATTATCTGTATCTTGGCTCATTTTTCTATCTGAATGAGGATAAACTTATCGATCATTTCTGGCTCTTCCGTCGGACAAAGCGAGCGAAAAGAGGCCTTACATCCCCACATCAAAACGCTGAAAATTTAGTGACAGTCACAAACAATACCATTTCGATCCTAGAGCCAACGAACATAAGGTCCAAAATAGCCCATACGACCAGCACCTGTAGACCTTTATGACGCTACAAAGGTTGTGCGTGCAGCGGAGTTCTATTAAACATAGTTTTTATTTCACTATGTAAGACCACACTTCATATTATATCGTCCAGTACACAACTCTTGTATAAACCATAAAGTTATGTTCTAACCTACCACGCTTCCCTGAGCACTCAAAGAGGCCTCAGTGACCATAAGACGTATTGCCTAACAAAATAATATCGTAAGTACTGCGTAAGTACTGCGTAAGTAGACGCGTCAATGCCAGGCCTCAAAAGAGTAACTGAGATGGACTGAGACGGCTGCGGCAGATGGAACTCAGGACAAGAAAGACACTTAATTACGATGGCGTTAATGATTGGAAGAAAATTAATGATGGATGATGAATGGAGAGAGACAAAGTAAAGAGGGATGAAAAATGGCAAAATAACTAGAAAAAAAGGGTAAAATAAACAGAAAAAAGGAAAAATATATAAGAGACTAATTAAAAAAAGGGAGAATATAAAAAAGGCTAAACAGAAAAAAGACTAAACAGAAAAAAGACTAAAAAAAAGACTAAACAGAAAAAAGGCTAAATAGAAAAAAGGTAAAATAGAAAAAGGCTAAAAAGAAAAAAGGCAACATGGAAAAAAGGCAAAATAGAAAAAAAATGAACAGAAAAAAGACTAAACAGAAAAAAGACTAAACAGAAAAAAGACTAAACAGAAAAAAGACTAAACAAAAAAAAATAGAAAAAAGGCTTAACAGAAAAAAACTAAATAGAAAAAGCTAAATAGAAAAAAGCAAAATAGATAGAAAAAAGGAAGACGAGCAAAATGAAAAGGCAAAATAAATAATAAAGAGAAAAGGCAGAATAAAGAGTGTAGGGGCTCTTAAAAAAAATGTCTATACGCGGATGCTGACTGTATATATATTAGTGTGTAAAGACACAGGGAAGCCAGTTCAGCTGCCACCCTCCACAGATCTCCAGTATCAGCTCTTGATACTGGTAATGGCTCAAAAGGGCCACCACTTACGGGCTATTCATGCCCGTGCCACCTTTTGGGTGGCTTAATCTTCATCAATCAATCAATCACAGGGAAGGTGGTGTAGCTCAGTTGTAGAGCATTCACCTTGCATGTGAAAAGGCCCGGGTTCGATCCCCGGCAACTCCAATCCCAATGGTAGTGCAACTTACAAGTTGATACAATATGTAAAGAAAATAAATTTTACACCAGTTGATTGACAGTTGAGAGGCGGGACCAAAGAGCCAAAGCTCAACCCCCGCAAGCATAACTAGACGAGTACAAATTCTCCCAAAACACACAAACATGAAGCTAGTTTAATAGAACTAGACCTTGCAACCATAGAGGAAAAAGAAACAGAGAGCATATGATCACAACATACAAGATACTCAAGGGAACTGACAAAACTGACAAGGACAGTCTCTTAAAATTGAGAGAACTTGGAAACGCTAACGAGCCGAGGAAATATAAGGAAATGCTGGTACCCAACACGGATAGCCATCAAGTGGAATCTTGAGGTTATCTTGAGATGATTTCAGGGCTTTAGTGTCCCCGCGGCCCGGTCCTCGACCAGGCCTCCACCCCCAGCAAGCAGCCCGTGACAGCTGACTAACACCCAGGTACCTATTTTACTGCTAGGTAACAGGGGCATAGGGTGAAAGAAACTCTGCCCATTATTTCTCGCCGGCGCCTGGGATCGAACCCAGGACCACAGGATCACAAGTCCAGCGTGCTGTCCGCTCGGCCGACCGGCTACCTAAAATGCCCTAAAAATAATAAGTTGTGGAAGCCACCTCCATCCACGACTTTAAGGCCAATTTTGAGAAATAATTGAACGCCAGAAAAGTTGAATTATATCACAACAAAGCCAACACAGAAATCACAATAGCTTGATGCATCAAATGAACAAAAATAGCTCGGTTGATTAAGGCAGCGTCTGGGATCCTCTCGGACGAAGGTTCGAACCCTCGTCACGGCCCTTGTGGATTTGTTCATTTAACAATAAAGCCACTAGAAGGGTATGGAGAGCTACACCTCACTCCCCTGGTGACATTTATAGGTAAGTACAGTAACATTTAATACAAAAAGATATGTATCTCCGTCATATTGCATCCCTCATCTGCCCACTATCCCAGCATCCATCCATATCTCGGCATCCCTTGTTATCCCAGCACCCTTATCTATCCCAGCATCCATATCTATCCAAGCATCCATAGGTACCATCCATATCCAAGCATCACTATTCCAGCATCCATATCCCAGCATCATCTATCCCAGCATCCATATCCAAGCATCCATATCTATCCCAGCATCCATATCTATCCCAGCATCCATATCTATCCCAGCATCCATATCTATCCCAGCATTCATATCTATCCCACGTTCGTTCCATCAGAACTGACGTGCCGTTCGTCTGAACCCATCCTCGCCACGGGATGAAAAGTATCCTACCTCTATTACATCTGTACCTCCCCCCCCTACCTTCCTATTCCCATCCTATCCCCACCCCCCATCCCCTATCCATTCCCCGTGTCCCCTAGCGTGTCCCTAGCCACCGCCACCACCATGACGCGCGGGGCTGACACTAACAGGGGCTGACACTAACAAGGGCTGACACTAACAAGGGCTGACACTAACATGGGCTGACACTAACAGGGGCTGACACTAACAGGGGCTGACACTAACAAGGGTGCGTGGATGGTGTCCCCCCGCTCCATCAACACATCCTCCGCCTTAGGAGGGGGTGCCCAAACCATCACCCCCCTTCCAAGGTCCTACCCCCTTCAAATTACACGTCTGTCATGCCCAGTCCTGCCCTGAGCTACCCTCTCATTCTTCATTCTGATGTCCTCTCTTCTACTCTTCCTCCTATCCCTTCTGACGTCTATCCCAGTCCTCTTCCCTCCAGCCTCCACCTATCCTCTGGCCATTACACCATCCCACCTAACTGTAATTTGCGTAATGTTATCTACGGTGTGTCGCTATCTTCGCCTAATCGAGACACGAATGGACTCCTCACGATCACCACCACGTCGATATTCACACAAAATACCACGACAGGGGAAAAAGAATTGGGGCGCACATTCCCCTGATCCAGTAGCGAGACTCATGACCTAAGCATGACACCTACATGTATCAAGGGGAAGTCTTCCAGCCGACAAGCACTGCGTTGTGTCGAGGTTCCCGGTGACTGCAATGTTTGATACGTCTCAAGGGAGCGTCTTGAGGGGTTATGCACGAACCAGGCAAGGAAGGAGTAAAGTTAGAAATGGTTCTCTAAACTGCAGCGAAGGAAGCTAGCGGAAAGGGTTGAAATCTAGACCTTGAAAAAATCCACAAGGGCAGTGACGAGGATTCGAACCTGCGTCTGGGAACATCCCAGACACTGCCTTAATCGACTGAGCTACGACAGGGTAAAAAGGGTTGAAACCGAAGTTCTACTGAACTTACTGGATCCCGTAGCCTCTCCGAGGCACAAACCGGGCTTTTACACAACTCCCCCCTGCACCCGAGCTATGTCAATAGGCCGTTCTCCCTCTTCGCCCTTACTTCATCATCACATCTAGACCTTTATTAAATTGGAAAGAGCCACTGTGGTTGTGAGGAAATTGTCGACTTGAGAATGGTCCAGGACGGACCGAAACGTCGTCGTCCCTTCACTTTCTAGTGTGTGGTCTGGTCAACATATTTCAGCCCCGTTATTGTGACTGAATAAGTTAACTAGTTTCTGGTGAGGCTGCGCTTAAGGGGGAACTAATTATATATTACCACTGCGCTTGAGGGGGAAACACTGCGCTTGAGGGGGAACTAAGCTACAGGGGAGGTCACACAAGGAAAAAATCAGTAGCTGTCACTAGTGTTGTTCAAACATTTCTTCTAAACATGTTTTTACACAATATTCTCCACTGCCAATATTACCTTAGACCTGAAAAGTGTTTACCCCAATAGTACAACCAACTACCCAGACATTCATGTGGCAAAGATCCCTCTGTCAAAATTAATCCTATATTCTCCTATAATCCTATATTAATCCAAAAGGCATCCTATATTCTCCTATAATCCTATATTAATCCAAAAGGCATCCTATATTCTCCTATAATCCTATATTAATCCAAAAGGCATCCTATATTCTCCTATAATCCTATATTAATCCAAAAGGCATCCTATATTCGACAAGTAATGCTAGATATACGATATTTCTCTACACGACAGCCAGCAACTGTGACAAGATTCATGCATTTTTTTTTTTTTTTTTTTTTTTTTTGATATATACAAGAGTTGTTACATTCTTGTAGAGCCACTAGTACGCGTAGCGTTTCGGGCAAGTCCCTGGAATACGATCCCCGCCGCGAAGAATCCTTGTTACAACCGAGTACACATTTTACTGTTGAGTTAAACAGAGGCTACAGTTAAGGATTTGCGCCCAGTCAATCCTCCCCGGCCAGGATACGAACCCATGACAAAGCGCTCGCGGAACGCCAGGCGAGTGTCTTACCACTACACCACGGAGACTACCACATTATTTCCTACCACATTATACCATGATGACCATACAGCCAATACAATGTCCAGCCATGATGAAGTCCATATTAACTATTTCCCACCATACTATTTCCTGCCATGATTTCGTTTATAACACGATAAAATCCCTTATTCCTACTCCCCGTAAAGAACACCCACATCCTAATCTTCATTTTCTAAGAGTATATGAAGTTCTAAGCACATATGCAATTCGAGGATCCCCAACTTTAAGGACTTACCTATTTAGAGCATTAGTCCAGAACTCGTCTACACAACACAACCAGAAGCCTCCTCCATTGTTTACCAACCTCTTGCCTCCCTCGATCACGTCTCGAGTAACCCACCAGCTATACACTTGCTCCTTGGTATACAACCCTTGCTTGCACACTCCACAAAAAATAATTTTCTCAATTGGTCACTGGGAGTCCACTCACGATTATCCTGAGGGCAATTCACCACAGTACGTCCTCGTTATAACTGGCCAAACGCTTCTCAAAACGACCGACCGTCCGCTACCCCGGGCAATAAGCAACTGATGACGTTTGGCAATTTCTGGAACTCTGTTTTGCTCACTAGGGTCGAATCCCTCGTTCCTAAATATCTAAATACCTCATGCTACAGCCCGTCCTGGCACACAAAGACCCAAGCTCGTTAATCCAGCCGCCAAACACCTTGTTTATGAATAAAAAAACGGTTTACACACGACTCAGAACTGAAGACATATGTACGATTATCGAGAAGTGTTTCACAGATGTCTCTACTCGAACAGCAAAGCTGTAAATGTTTCACCCACATAATTCAAACACAAATAATCGCCAACAGAACCTAACCTAACCTACGCATAACTATACATTGAATTTTATTGTATAATATGAATTTATACATAACAAACCTATTTTGATTATAAGTATGTTAGAAGGTATGAATGCGTTTGTGCGAACGACCGCACCTCTAACAAGCCGCTCCTCTGAGAACGGGTTGATCACCCAAACACTACAAATTGAAATCATTTCTGAAAGAATTCAAACATCTACACTATGCCTAACTGTATACATAATTCCAGAATGAATATTTATATTATTTTATGTTTGAGAAAATATAAATTTTTAATACACTGTAGGTTAAAATTACTGAATTTGTCTTTAGGATTTATCGCAGCTTGGACGAACACAGCTTAAAGCTGGGTTGTGGTGGGCCACAGCTTGGACGAACACAGCTTGGACGAACACAGCTTGGACGAACACAGCTTGGACGAACACAGCTTAAAGCTGGGTTGTGGTGACCCACAACTCGGACGAACATAACCTGAGGATCGGTTGTGAATCACATTAAAACTATCTTCGTTTCTATTTCACATATACTATAATAAAACCGACATTATTTAAAAAGTAAATTTAAAACAGCATACACCAGTATATGTTGCTTTTGTAGATTAGGTGAAAATAGTTTAGGAGCTTTGGTTCGGTTCCCAATTATTTTTAAATACGTGAAAAGAATATAGTAAGAATATGAAGCATTTTTCGAGAGCAGTTTCGAACGTAATGACTTATGTCGAGCTCATTACAAAATACTAATTTTAACAGATGATACAGCGAAGAATATGCAGGTGAGGAGTCACAATAACGTGG